CAGTCACCTAGGCTGTGTGCTACTGACTACTGATGTCTCCTAGTTTTAATGGTGGCACCTGTATAATTGGAGAGCATGCCATCTGTATAACCTACTTCATTCTAACTTGTTGCAGTGTCTTTCCATTTTATAGTAATAAAGAGAATATTCAAAGCCTGAAAAAAAAATTAAAACAATAAAAAACACGTTTGAAACAGTACAGAGTTTCGTGATTGTCTCTGAAAGTTTTGTTTTAAAAAATGTCTTGGTTTGATCAAATGAGTATCTAAGAAGATCTAAAAATTCCCTTTGGTTTATTTATTTATTTATTTATTAAAATTGTCCTCTCATGCCTTTAAGAGCCAGCCCTATGCTTAGGACAGCCCTCCTAAACCGAGAGGGAAATTACTGAACATCCTGCCAGACTACCCTGTGAAGACCTGAGTACAGGGGAGCACAACACATAGGCCAGGACATGCCCTTTGGTTTATATTCCCTAAATTTTTCTTTTTCTTTCTATAGCTTATTTTGGAAAACTTTAACCACATACCGAGTTAGACTGGTATAATGTGTTCCTATGTGTGGCTATGACACAACTTCAGTAGTTAAGATAATAAGGAACATTTTAAAACAACCAGAAAATCATTGTCACAACTTAAAATGAACAATAATTTCCTGGTGCCACAAACTATCTAGTCTGTATTTATATTTCTCAAATCTTACCTCATAATGTTCTTAAACTGTTGGTTCTATATGGAGCACGATCCAAGATAAATTTCACATGTTGCATTGAATTTGTAGATCTTAGTTTATCAGTTTCTAATCTCATCATTTTCATTTCTAATAGTTTTTTCCATTTGTAGAAGAAATAAAGTCAGAATGTCTACATTCTGATTGTTGTGGTTTTGTGGCATGGTGGTATAATTTGTAATTTAACATTTTATTTAAGAAATTAACTTTTAAAAAGGGGAAGCTGGGGAGATAGCTCAGCATTCTAAGTGCCTGCTTGTCAAGTGCAAGGACCCAAGTGTGGGCCTGTCATCCCAGTGCTGGGGTGGTTGAGACAGAAGGATCACTACAAGTCTGAACTGCATAGTGAGACCCTGTATCAAATAAATAAATAAATAAATTTTTAAAAATATAGAATTTTGCTAAAAAATAATAGGAATTGAATAATGATTGTTATATTGCACATTGTTGTCTTCAAATTAGTTGTTTAGGTTACCTGATATAAGCATGTAAAATTGATCAAAAAATTGGTCAAAAAAATTAAAAAGAAGAAAAAATCTTAAGCATTAACTGTTCCTTTCAATAGGCCAATAGAAATCAGCAGTACAATTATCTAAGCTATCTTTTGTGTGTGTGTGTATATATATATATATATATATATATATATATATATGTTTCATTTTCCTTCTTTTTCTTCTCCTTTCCCTCTTTCCAGTTGTTTCTTCCCTTTGAACAGATTCTTTCTTACATTAGGGATACAATGTGATGTTTACACATGTAGATCTGATTTACTCTTAAAATGAGTGATAGCTTTTCTTTGAAAGGGGAAAGGTAATGAATGCAGACAAGGCCAGAGGAAGGCTCTATAGGCCTTGCTTCCATATTTCAGTCTTCCAACAAGAATCTGGGTGGTTTTCTGGCTCAGTATTTTAAAATCATTTTTTTCTAGAGACCTAGATTTCATCTAAAGCTCAAAGAAGAAGTAAAGGGGAGGGGGGAGCTCTGCACACACCTCCCGAGTTTCACTTCCAGCCATTGAGACTCTCAGTCCCGAATCAGCTTTGCATGTTCAGATTCTGTGTAAGACTTAATCTCTCAGTGCCTCCACAGTTTGGGATGTTAAAGATGGGCTAGAAATTCTTCCAATCCTCCCCAAGAAATGGAGGTTATTCTCCCTGTTTTTGAATTTGAGCTGGTCCATGACTGCTTTAGCCAAAGAGTGTGGAGGAGTGATGCTGGGATCTTCCACTTCCACAGGGACAGACAGACTTTTAAATTTTATTTATTTATTTATTTATTTATTCTTTTAATTTTTTTTAAAGAGTACAAAATAGTATTAAAACAGAAAAATTACAAGTGATGCAAAATTTCACTAAACAAAATAGTATGAATTTCACAGTATTTGTTGTACTGCATAGTGTTGTCTCCAAAGTAGTTGTTCATATTACCAGATATGTGCATGCATAATTGGAAGAAAGAAAAAAAGAAAAAAAAAGCAAGAGAAATTAAGAGAAAAAAGTAAAAGAATTGAAATAAAGAGACAAAAAGGTGGGGCCATACTGGCCCCACCTTTCATTTTATATTTGTATTTGTTTTTAAAATTTTAGCAGACAAAATACAACTCTAGGTTTAGAATTTCACTTGGCAAGTGCAGTATATAACTAAACTAACATTAATTGATAGCGTTGTTTGGTTTTCATTCTATTTATTTTGTCCATTATTGGTTTAGTTTTGAATTTGATATAAACATTTCTTTGAAAATAAGGAGGTAAGTCATTTTGAAGAAAAATATAAGGTAAGGGGCTGTATAAGTAGTGTACACTGTGACAAATACTAGGATGGTCACGCAGGTGATGGCTAGAAATGCTGCTCCAGTGAACATCCTAGGCTTTTCTATGGATCCTACTTTGGGTTGTCACAGGGAAGGAAAGCAGATAGAGCCTTTTTCTCTGCCACCTCTGCATCACAGGTGCCACAGTCCTCCTGAGCCCATTGAGGTTGGGCAGAGCAACAGGATCAGGACAGCAGGAGGGGACCCCAGCTTCACAGCCAGTGCTCCCATGTGATGTCAGTTTACAACTCTCCTTGGCCCCTCCCAGTCAGTGGTGGTATCCAGGGGATGGCACCTTATTTTCCCAGTTCCTCCCACAGTCCAGTGGGCCCGAGAGCCCCTGCACCTGCCCAGGGCTCCTGTCTGGGCAGTTGTGCCGGTTCAGCCCTCCCTGACCTCCCAGCCAGCAGCTCTAGCCTCCCTAATGTGCTCAGCACTTTCAGCTGTTCTATGATAGTCTCAAAGGGCGCAGAGATGAGAGCTTTGCTGAAAATGTGCATCTTCTGCAGGAAAGGGCCAGAGAACACTTAGATGGGAAAAGGACAAAAGATCAAAGTGGTTTTGGAACAGAAACGAAAAGGGGGTGGGCTATAAAATTTGAATGAAGGGCCTGGAAAAGGAAGCAGGAGATGGTAGATGGCTTGATTCTATAGTGGGAGCTAAGCAGGAGAGAAATGCTATGAGCAAGGAAGGGGAGCCCTTTGAATGAAGGGGCTGCTTAGGAACCAAAAATGGTAATATAATTCTGATAAAAGGAACAAAACTTATGACGGTGTTGGTCTGAAGCCCTGAACGTGACCATAGCACTTCTGTCTGCAGCAGATAGGCATCCTTTACCCTCCTAGTTATTGGGTCTTTTATGTCACTTCATCCATGAAGTCCTCCTGGCTCAGAAACAGACATCACCTGTCACTTTGTGTCTTCAACTCCTGTAGCACAAAGAAGGCATCCGGTAAAAAACATGCTGAAGAAGAATTACTTATTTATTTAATCTTTTATCTATTTATTTGGTATAGGGTCTTGTTATACAGCTTGGACTCACAGTGATCCTCCTGTCTTAGCCTCTCCAGCCTTGGGATTACAGGCATGCACCATCACGCCCAGTGGCTGGCCTGGTGTGCCCGTGGTTCCAGGGCCTGCATGACATGCAGTACCAGAGATCAAACTGAGGTCCTTGTACTTGCCAGGCAGGCACTTAGACCGCTGAGCATTCTTCCCAGCCTAGAAGAATGAATTTAACCAATTAATCTTTATGAGGCTCCTGGTATGTGCAAAATAATAATAGAAATAAAAAATGACTTAAAGGAATTTCCCCCTCATGAAATACTCTCATTATTATCAATATTATTAATATGCTATTAATGCCATAAATATTAGTTATTATTGAAAATTAGAGGATATACTACATGCTATATATTATAAACATATCATGTCCTCTTTAATAACTAAGGTTAACTGTGAAATACCAACATATGTAACAATAGGTGTTGCAGACTGACCTATCAGTACCATAGATGTTGCTGAGATCCGAGAACCCGGAAATGGCAGAGCCAGGATCCAAAAAAAAGTGTGGCTGACTCCTAATTTTGCTGTAGGAGAATATGTTGCCCTACTGTGTGCAGAGAGAGAAAATGAGCTCTACCACCCAAGCACTGTAGGTCTCACTGGGGCTCTAGGGACTCCGGGCCCAGCAGGCGGGGGAAGGCAGCTAGCCTTGTCTCCACCACCATCTCACTCCCTATGGGTGCTAGGTCCACAGTTTGAACAAGCAGACAAGAGAGAGGTGCCAGGGGCAGGAAGAGTGGCAGTTTTGAGGACCTTTATAGAAGCCAGAGGAACAGGTGGAGACAGCCTGGGTCCTTGAGTAATTTGTCAGTTCTTGTGGGGCCATGTCCCTTCTCAGCTCCCTGAGTGACCTCTTTGCTGAGCTTGCCTGGCCCTGTGGGTGTGGCAGCAGGCTGAGCTCTAGCACAGGCTTTTCTGGGTCTAGCTGTGCAACCAGAACTCCCATCGCAGGTGATCCCCGGTGCAAACAACATTGCCATCACCAAAGGCAAAAAATGGTCCTGGTCTTTCCACTGTCTGTTGCGTGGCACCTACAGTGGTGGCAAATAGTGTCCACCCATGTCTATGTGATTCCTCTGTTTCCCAGCCCTCCCTACCCCCCGCCCCTGCCCCAGCTGTTAGGAGCAGAGAGGTGCCACTGCTGGTCCTAATTCCTTTCTTCAATGGTGGCGGCCTTGGAGTCATATTTTCCAAGTTTGGAGTCACAAGAAAGCCAGTCTCTTGATTCACATCCAACAGCTACAGCAAGCTCGTATTAGATCAAACAACTTAGAGTTCAGGTCTGTCTGCGGCAGCTGCCATGGATCACTTCAGATTAATGTGTCTTCCTCACGCATTCTGCTCTGCAGTAACATCTGTCAGGCCCTTCAGTACCAAAAGCAGGTGGCTTAAACATACCTTGACTTGGCTGGTGGCATAATTTTATCCCAGAGTTGCTTTGGAGAAATGAACAATGATAGAGTTAAACATACACTGCTGCCTCCTCTGCGATGTGGCAATCTACCCAGTTTCTTCCTCAGGTAAACCTGTAAATTTTAGATATCCTCTGTGTAAGCTGACACTTTCACAACTTATCCCACTAGGCACACATTATTTTCCATGTTACAAGCAGAGAATTAGGCTCAGGAGAGCAACCTACCACAGCCAAATGGTGGCTGAGCATTGAACTGGGATTCTGTCTAACCCAGGGGGTTCTAACTCCAGCGCTCACTGCACCGTGCCCAGCTGCCTTGATAAGCGAGTTTCCTGCTTCATTCACCTTGGGGCTATGCCATAGAGAAGGCTTGGCATTAACCTCAAGGAGTGTAGGTGTCAGATGAAGTGACTAGACAGGCCAAGGTGAGAGCAAAAA